AGCCAAAACTTCCCTTTCAGTCTACAGCTGCAGAAAACACCCCAGGCCAAGCACCCACTAGGAGACCCTGTTGTGCTGCAGCCTGAGGGCCAGCATCCCATGGATTTCCAGAAGACAATATTATCCTGCAGGCCCAGGGCTGCCCATCCACTCTGACACTCACATACTGGCCTACCGGACAGGCCGTGTTGGCCAGATAGAAGGGTGATACAGCTGTTTGGAATGGATTTTGTCGCTTGTGCCAACATTTGCTTACTGTCACTGGAGGCAGTGACTTAACCTCCTTGGGTTCCAGTTTCCACATCAGTAAACTTGGAATAATTGTTCCCATCCCATCCATCATGGAGCCCTTGTGAGACTTATATGAGATACTGTGTATGTCAGCAGTGGGCCTGATGTGGTCAGTGCTTTAAAATGGCAGTAACGCTCTAGAAACCCAGACTGGGCCCTCTGGACTAGGAGGGAAGTGGGGCTGGAGAGGTGTGCAGGGAAACTGGGGCTGCAGGGAGGAGAAAACACTCCCAGTCGGGTAAGGGATGCCTCATCTCCTGAACCCTTGTCTGTCCCAGCTCTGCACTGCCTGAGCATCCTCAGCTCCTTTCCCTGGGTGGGGATAAGAGTATCTGTCTCTACTCACAGCAGCTGCTAGGCAGCATGGGGCAGGAGCAGATTCCAGCTCCACTGGCTACCTTGGGGCTTTGTTTCTCCACCTGCCAAATGGGACTAACATGTGAACTTGGGGGCAGCCCTGCAGGCCTTCCTTTTCTGAGCCAAATGACAGTTCTACGATGGAGCCAATGAGTGCCTCAATCAGCCAGGGACTCTAGGGTCAGCAGAAGCCTCCATCACAGCCCCATTTCCTGAGACCAAGGTACATGGGGAATACAGTGAAGTCCTCACTCCCCTTGCCCAGAGCAGAGCCAGGTTCTATTCTGTGAGAGTGACAGAGCAGCATCGCCAGGCACCTGTGTCCTCTGCTTCTGAATTTGTTCTAGTGCTTCTTTCGCCCCTCCATGACCGTGGAGCTTGTCAAGCCTTTATGGTACCTGTGTGAAAGTTCAAAAAAGATGCCTTGTCCTAGCAGATGTAGTCCCATGCCAGGGTTTTATCCCCATCCCACTCATGGTTAAGCCAGTGTCCTTGTGCAGTGAGCATCCTACAGAACTGGGCCACGCCAACCCCTCTCTGCTCTCCCCTCCCAGCTAGGTCCCACTGTATCCTCAAGGATCCCCCAGATTGGCTGGACAAGAGGCATCCTCTCCTTGGCGCCCCTGTCTTTCCTGTCAGGACTAGACCAGAGCCCCTTGAACCCCAACCCTCTGTTGGGAAGAGGAAAGAAGGTTTGTATGTTTTGTACCTTCCCAAATTTCCTAGCTCCTGCCTTTGAGCTCTAGGCTCCAACTCTGAAGAAGCATCAGAGCTCCATCTCCTCCTGCTGATGAGGCCCAGAAGCCTTGATTCTACTGGTCTTTTCTTTGAAGGCTTCTTTATTCCCAATGGAGATGGTATGGGCTTCTCACACCAGTGGCCATGCTGATTTGGTCTTATTAGTGCCACTGGAGTTCCATCACTCCAGGATCAATACTGGTCCAATCACCCTGGTCCCCAAAGCTCTTGTGCCTGGCCCTGTTTTCTCTTCCAGCGTCACCCTAACTAATTCTCTTCCAACCTATGGGCCAGACAGAATCCTTTAACCCCCAGAAGGTCCCAGGTGGAGTGAACCCTCATGATACCTCACAAAGCTTCCCTGCTCTAAAGATGGGTGAAAATCCAGATCCCAGCAGTATATACAGAGTGCACATGGCCATTAGCTAGTTCAAACTTCATCACAGCTCAGTGACATGGGCAACAGGGTAGAGTTTTTATGTCTGGGCCACTTAGCCTGGCGTCTAGCGATGTACTCTCAAGAGATGCTGAAAGGTCAAAGGGTGGGTATGATGGGTAGATGGGTGAATGGATGGATGAACATGACAGTGTCTTAGTGTATCTGGGCTGCTATAACAAAATTCCAGAGATTGGGTGGCTTTAAAAATAACAGAAATGTATAGCTTGCAGTTCTGGAGACTGAGTATTCCAAGATCAAGGTGCTGACAAATTCCGTACCTGGCGAGGTCCCACTTCTTGGTTCCCAGGTGGCCATTTCTTTTTCTGTTTTCACATGTGACGTGTGAGGGGGTCTTTCTGGGGTCCCTTTTATAAGGCCACTAATCCCTTCATGAGAGCCCCACCCTCATGACATAACCACTTCTGAAAGGCCCAACCACCTAATATCCTAATGTCCTCCTAATATGATATACTGAGGAATAGTTTTCCACCTAGAAAGCTTAGAACATATTGAGACTAGAGCAGATGAGTAGTTGGGTGGGTGAGTGGGTGGCTTGATGGGAAGGCAAGGACTGGATCTGGATGCAGAACAGGAAAAACGGAAACATGATGAATCTGTACAGCCCAGGGGGTTCTAGTCTAAGTAGTTGGGTAGGTAGGGAGTGAGGCCGTGCTGATCTCTGGAGGGAAGGAAGGACCTCGAGGGGGAGCAGGGCATGCTGGGAGGCAGGCAGCAGTATAGAAGCCCCTTTATCCTTCTGGTCAGATGGGCCCGGTCCAGGAATGATGAACTAGTCATTTGCTAGGACTCCCCAGGCCATTCCAGCCGAACACTGGCAGGGCTTTACTCTGCTCTAGCCATCTACACCCAGCTCTGGGAGCCTTTCCCAGGGGGATCTTGGGCTGCAAGTGAGGAACAGAGGAGCCTGCACATCCAGGTAGCCCACCCTGGAAGTGAGGGCCTGGAATCTTCCATCATTGTATTTCTCAGTCCTCCCAACTCCCACAGTGAGGACAAATCCGGGCTTTGGGCAATAAGGTAGGGCAGTCCAAAAACCATTAATCCTAGTCTAAGGGAGAGACATGGGTAGGCTGCAGAGCCTTGCCAGAGAATGGGGCGGGGGCAGTGAAATCTCTCACTCAGGGGTGCTCCCCTTACACACCCCACTAGCACCTAATCAGTGTTTGCCTGAGTATCTGTGTGCGCCTGTGTCTGCATGTGAGTGTGTGTGTGTGTGTCTTTTTGTGTAACTGAACCCACCCTATAGGGTTTGGAGGCTTCAACTAGATAATACTTGTAAACACCTGGGGTACAGGGCCTGGGGCATGGCAGATTCCTTATATTAGTACCCATCATGGAGGAGAGGGCAAGGGCTAAGAGCTAGGACTCCAATCAGGCTTTTGGTACATGGCTTGGCTTCTGCCACCCAATTAGGATGGTTAGTACCAGACTTGCTATGAAGTTGTATTTGGTCCTCAGGGGCAAAATTTTCTATAGATTCTGGTCAGCCACCCCATCCCACCCTCGATGGCACATCTTTGGCCCTCAAGCTATTCGCTGTCATCCGACAGGACCTTCTGCTTCACAGGAAATATGTTTTAACACCCTGTCCCCCAAACTCACCTACATCTGTTCCCATCCCCCACCCATCCATTTCCTGGCCTGTCCCAGGAAGAGACTTCCTACATCACATCCTTAGGCTCTGTGGTACATCTCCTTGCTTTTTGCCTCTCCCACTTTGTACCCACCTCTTCTGTGCCCAGGAGACATGTTCAAGTCGCTCTATCTCCCTTCCCTTACACTTGCTCCTGCCCCTGCCAACTGCAATCCCATACCCCATAATACTGAATGCTGAAACACCGTGAAGAAGTTTTTCTAAAAACCATCCAGGCCAGGTGGCCCTGGACAGGTTCCTTCTGGTCCTGAGCTATTTCTTGAGCTCCATGGCCCTTTCCTGAGGCAGGGCTGTATGAGTAGTCAGAAGTCTATATTCTACCTTTTCTCTGCCATCTGCTCCCTGTGTGGCTTTGGGAGGCCCTCAGCCTTGGTTTCCTCAGTTTCCCTCTCTCCATATTGGGCTGGCCTTATAATCCTAGGGCTTCTGCAGATTCCATCCTTTGCTTTGAATGCCACCTAGGCTGGAAATATCAATCCCCTTCCCAAAGGAGCCAACCTCCAGCTGCCATCCAAGAACAGGGGGCAATTGTGAGGGGTGGGAAATGGTGAAGGGAAAAATATACCTCTAGCCTGGAGACCGCCCCTGGATGTGGGTTCAGGCACAAACTCCCATTTAACATGTAGCAGGCATCCAGGGCCTCACAAATTCCTGTCATCACAGACTGCCTTTGGGCTGGCTGGCCTGGCTCTGCTCTAGAGGATGGAGCCCAGCCCCAAGGCAGAAAGGGATTCCTCAAGATGCACACCGTGAAGGTGGAACTTAGGGGGATCTGTAGGAATTCCATGGCTTCACTGTCCCTTGTCACTGAGTACAACTGCCCCCTCCTCCGGATGGTCATAGGATCATACCCCTCCTGGTGCAGAAGGGGAAATAGACTCAGCTCTGTGCAGACCATGCCCCGTTCTCCCCACTGATCTCAGCTGCAGTGGCAGTGACAGCCTACAGAACCCCAGCCTCCCCCAGCAGCATGCACACTCACTGAGACCTGCATAAGGGCCTGCATTTGGGTAAAATGTGTGTCCAAGGCCCTTGTGCTGAAAGGGTCCTCACACTCCCAGAACTGCCAAGGAGTAAGGAGCCGGGAAACAGAAAGGGAGGGGCATTTGTTGGGATCCCACCCAGGGCTGAGCTCTCAGGCCACAGGTGCCTGTCCCAGTGGCCCCTCCACATAGCCCCCTTCTTCATGTGAGGTCCTGAAGGAGGAGGACCTGCAGTGGCAGGCCCAGGACTCTGGTGGGAACAGCAAGTGGGGTGCATGGGAACAACCCTCCCCTACCTGGGTTTCCCTTGGAGAAGGTGCCGCAGGCTGCAGCGGATCAATGGTGCGAAGGCTGCTCATTTCCTCTGGCTCAGAGGGAGAGAGGCCATGCCACACAGCACCGCCATTGTTGGCTGCCCTTATCTCGGGAAGTTCCGCCTGCCCCATCCGTCCATCCAGGAGAGGCAGCTAGGCCCCCAGGGTCCCTCCTTACCTTTCTTTGCTTCTTGGAAGCTAGAGAGCTTGGCAGGCCCAGATGATGCCAGCCCCTTCCCATGGGAAGCCTGGACATCCCCTGAGGGCAACAGTCATGGAGGGCAGAGTGGCAGGGCTTGGGTCTCAGCTGAGCTTCAAAAGGGCAATCCTGGGGGGCCAGGGGAAGGGAGGGTGGGACACAGCAGGATGAAGGGAGCCAGGCTGCACTTGAGGCCCAGACCAGTTAGGGCAGGGCAGCCATGCCTCTGTGGCACCACATTCCTCAGTTTAAATCCTTCCTTCCAGGAGTGCACGCCGCTGCTGGTTCCACGGGATGCAGTGCAGTCACACACCCCCTCCAGGAAGCCTTTCCTGACCTCCCCACAGCCCCATCACAGACCCCCGTCAGAGTCCAGAGCACCCTATGTACGTGCAGGGCTGACCCCGACTACAGCAGACTGCCTTCATGGCAGGTCCCCACACCCACCCTCTCCAGCCTGGTGAGGACTCCCTAGAGCTGACTGTGGCCACATTCCACAGGTACTCCAGTCCCTGGCACAGACCCACCTCCCCCACCAGCCTGCCTGCTGTAGACAGCATGCTTCTGGCCAAGTGTCCCTCTACCTGGGAGTCTCTGTACATACATTCTCTGGAGAACCCGCCACTCGCTAAGGACTCCAGGGTGCTCCCTGTGGCCCCTCTGTGCCCACCTCCCCTGGTGCCAAGGAGTGCAGTGGAAACAACTCTCCTCTGCCTCAACAGCCTCACTCAAAGAACTGTTCAAAAAGGTCTCCCCAGTTTAAAGGAAATGTTTAAAAATCACTCATTCACCTACCCTAACTGTAACAGATGCCATGGATCTGCTAACATCTCACAAGAAGTCTAGAAAAGTCCAGATTTTCATTTTCATGGCAACACTATTAAGAACTTCCAATCAGGAGTTTTCACCACTTCCCAAGGACAGGGCTCCAGGAGTGCTGGAGGGAGACACATGACGGCAGGTGGAGACTGAGGACCCTGGAGGCACACATGCCCCTGCCCCTCAGGAAGAGGAAAGGTCATCTCACTGAGAGGGAATCTGTGGCAACCAAGGCAGTCTGGGCCAGGGTGGAGGCTCCCTAAGGATCCTTGGGAGCTGGTCTCTCCTTCCTCTTCCCTCCTCTGAGCCAGCAAACGGGGAGAAGCAAGGATGAAGAGGAGTGCTGGTGGTCACAGGATACCCAGGCCAGGGCATCCACACACCAGGCTTTCATGTGCAGGAGCCAGGGCAGCATCTGTGGGTGGGTAGCACAGAACAAAATACGGTGGTCCTCTATTTGAGAGGGCTCTGTCCTGCCCTAGGACACATAGTGAATTTGAGGACACACGGTAGACCCTCGGTAAAGGATGTAAAGTTCACAGCATCCTCACCATGATCTTCCTTGCCCGGCCATGACAGAAGTAGAGATTGAGATCCCCATCTTATAGAGGGAATGAGTCTCAGACAAGAGGCAGTGATTCACCTCAATTCAGATGGTGATGCAGGCTGTCTGTGAACCCACGACCCTAGTTCCCAATCTCCCCTCCCCTCCTCTCTTCTCCTGGCATCAATGACCCAGACAGGAAGTGGCTACATTCTGCCTTCAAGGGGCTCTTGGTCTGGAGTGGCCAAGAAACCAGTGCATGCAAAGGAAATGGATGCCTAAGAGGGGGAATGGGTAGGGTGTGGGTGGCAGCAGTCAGGGAAGACTTTTCGTGGGAGGCAGCATTCTGTAGGAACTAGAGAGGAAATTGTAAGGTGTAGCTGGGGAGCAGGAAGGCAGAGGATGAGCAAGGGGGACAGCACACATACCCCACCCATGGCAGGAGAGAGACCAATTTCCCAAGGCTGTGTGGCATATATTGGAAAGAGCCCTTGATGTGTGGTCTGAATGTCTCAGAAATTAGTGCAACCCCAGAGGGCAGAGGCTGGTGCTCCTCACCCTGAATCTTTAGCTCCTAGCATGGGGTCAGGACCCCAAATTTGTGGCCTTAGCTTTCTTATCTGTGAACTGGGAATAAAGAAGAAACACCCTTGTCCTGGTTGTTGAGAGGATTCTGTGAGAAAGTGCCTACAAAATGCCTTCTGTTGTGCTTAGCACACGGTAAGGCACTTAGTATTCTATGATATTTTTATTTTTCTTCAAGTCTTTCTCGTGAAAAGCGCTTTGGAACCTGCAGAGTTGTCGGCCCACTCTGTGAGCCCTTTTCAAGTGTTCAGACAGGAATGTACATAAAACAGAGGCCTTGCTGGGACAGGCTGCAGTAATGTCATTTTCAGAAGCAACAGAATGCAGCAGAGCCAGAAGTTACCAGGGTGAGTGACTCAGGGACATATGAATGTTGTGAACTGCCCTTTTCTTTGTCTCCACACAATTTCAAATATTTCCTGGAAAACATATGTGAATGCAAATATGAGGCAAATATATTTGGGGGAGTAAGGCAAACGGTGAGAGATGATTGACACCTGGATTTAAATCCCAGCTTTGAAACCTACATGCAGCTGTGTACCTTGAGTAGGGCACCAAATCTCTTCAATTACTTTGCCCACCAGAAAATCGGAGATATTTCTTACCTTGAGAGGTTATTGACTGGATTGAACTGCTGATTGTTATTAATTCTTATAAAGCAAGCAATGTTTCATATCCTGAGGACAGGACCTAAAAGACTTTTCACTGGCTCGTGC